ACTCACTTCCTTATCCCAGGTCTGGCCAAACAGTTTCTCCTCCTCCCCGCATCCTGTCTGACCCTCCAGAGATGCTGTTGGATGTCACTGACCATGGACAGCCCTGCCCACGCAAGGAACTCCACTCTTCCGGGTAATGACTGCTTCTCACCAAGTTGTTAGAAAGCATTTCCTGTTGTGGCCATGTCCCTGCACAGGAGCCTCAATGACTTGTCATAGCTATACACACTGGTCGAAGGGCTCTGGTGTGTGTCTATCACTGACCTCTGTGCACATCACACTCCCAGACAAGAATTCTCCCCCACTTAATGTTGTGTATTCTCTATGGCTTAATTCATTTGTTTGAAAGGCATCAGGTGCCACATCTGTATGCAATGCAACCTCATCCTTTTTAAAGTGCACTCACGCATCCATTATGAGTGAAAATGCCATGTGTAGCTGCCCTGAAATGTTTTGGTCCTCATTTGCTTAGTCACTAGGGGTCTGAATAAATGACTGTTAGATGAGTGAATGACAAAAAATGGTATGGTGTTGAATACAAAGGTTTACTTATAGATTAGTTTTTAGGATGTTTGTTAAAAAGCATCTAGAGTCCTAAATTGATTAGCTTAACAATTATATGAACCTATTATGGGTTAGGCATTAGGATAGACCTTGAGGATGCCAAAATATTATAATAGGACAATGATCCTGTTCTCAAGTAGCTTACAGTTAGAAAAGACAGACATGTAAGCAAATAAGAGCAAAAAGAACATGATAAAAACATGTATGAGACAATGAAAAAAGACAAAAATGGTTTAATTCCTAGAGAGAAGACAGACTAAAAAAGGTATCAGAGCCCAGGCAGGTGTGGCTCAGTAGTTGAGTGTCAACCCCATGAACTAAGAGGTCACCAGTTCAATTCCTGGTCAGTATATGTGTCTGGGTTGCAGGCTTGATCTACAGTGTGTGGCATGCAGGAGGCAGCCAATCAATGATTCTCCTTCATCATGCTTTTTAAAAAAGCATCCTATATAATAAAAGTCTAATATGCAAATTGACCGAATGGTAGAATGATTGGTTGCTATGATGTGCACTGACCACCAGGGGGAAGACATTCAATGCACAAGCTGCCCCCTGGTGGTCAATGCACTCCCACAGGGGGAGCACCACTCAGCCAGAAGCTGGGCTCACAGCTGGCGAGTGCAGTGGCAATGGTGAAAGCCTCTCCTGCCTCCATGCCAGCACTAAAGACTCTCAGGAGGATATCTGCCTAAGACCGCTCTACTCACCTAAGCTGGCACACAGACATTTCCTGAAGGGTCCCAGACTGCAAGAGGGTGCAGGCAAAGCTAAGGTACCTCCCAGTGCATGAATCTCATGCACTAGGCATCTAATCAGAGATAAAACTACTGTATAAGTTGGTAACCAATCAGTCCATTTTTGGTATAAAAGGTGCCACTGTTATTTGTGTGTTTATCACATTGGTGGGTCTATAAAAATTTTTGTTTCATAACTATTTTAAAAATAGAATTATTTTTAATTTTAAAGTCTGTGAAGGTTTAGTTTGTGGAGGTTTCAATATGTGAGGAGTTCAGTGTCAGAGGGTTTCAGTCTGTGAGGGGTTTAGTCTGTGAGGGTTCAGTCTGAGCAGATTTCATTCTGTGGGGGGATTCTTTCTCATCATTGATCTCTCTCTCCCCCTCTCCTTCCCTCCCTCCCCATCTCTGAATTCAATAAAAATATTTTTAATTGATTAACTCTGCAAATATGTGCAAGAGTAATTATTCTGCCTATAGTATTTTCTGATATTTAGACAATCAACAGAAAGAAGCTAAATTTTTTAACATATGTATGTTATTTTAATTTTTAAAAAGCTGTATCTCAATAAAGCTGTTTTTAAAAGAACACCATTAAGAAAATAAAAGCAAGCAAGCTATAGAATGGAAGCAAATATTCATACTACGTATATCCACAAAGAACAGAATATATAAAAGAATATATAAAGAACACTTCCAACCCATAATATGATGATGAAAAATCCAATAAAAAATGAGTAAAGGATTTGAATGGAAGATATGGTAGTGACCCATGAAGACATAAAAAGATGACTGACATCACGTATCATCAGGGAAATGCACATTAAAACCAGTATGAGATACAACTGCACTCCCATTAAAATGGCTACAATTGAAAAAAACTGGAAACGTTAAGTGTTGGCAAGAATGTAAAGAACTGGAATTCATACTGTGAAGCAAGTTGATTGTCTAAATAGCAGGTGAAAATATAAAACGGTAAAACAACTCTGGAAAACTGGCAGTTTATTAAAAAATTCAGAATAACACCTCCTCTGTAGCCCACTCATTCTACTACCAGGTCTTCACCCAAACATACACCCACAGCAAGGCTTGGACATGAATGTTCACAGCAACTTTATTCATAATAGCCCCCAACCTGGAAACAACCCAAATGTCTACCAACAAGTGAGTGAATAAAATGAGACCTATCCAGAACAAGGGACTCCTGCTCAGTAATAAGAGGGAAGAAACAACTGACCCACATTATTAGATACATGATGAATGTCAATAATCATGATGAGCAACATACACCAGACACAAAACTGTGCCTGCTATGTAATCCCATGTATACAGTATTTTAGAAAATGCAAAAGACTCTCTCCTGAGTGAAAGTGGACCTCTGGTTGGCTGGGATCAGATGCGAGGGAGGGACCATGTGAAATAACCACAAGGAATCTTTGGGAAATTTCCTGTTCTTGGTCATGGTGGTGGCTTCCTGGGCATGATACTCTCACCTTCATCACTGAATTGTTCCGTTAAATAGGTGCAGTTAATTGTATGCAAATTATAACTCAATGAAGCTGATTTTTTAATAAGGTGATGAGAACCAATGAAAAAGAATTCATAGCAGTTAAGTACATAATTAGCATATCCAGTGTTTATGCAAGTAGTGCGTTCAACGTATAACAGTACACGCAGTTTTTTTCCTTAGGTACTTCAAGCACTGCCTCTAGACATGGATTTTGTGATTCATTTGTCTGACAAACCTCACCCAGTGCCCCCGAGAGTTCATTTCAGTCCACTCCTCTCTGCACGAGAACAAATTCTGAATGAGTGTAGTCTATATTGAGGATAATTGTCAAAGAATGGAAAGCCTGATAGAAAAGCTCAGTGAGGGATGGGACAGCTGTGCTGACAGTGCGACATTCAAACTTCGTTCTAAGGTTCATTCTGTTCCAGACTCTCATATGCTCTCAGGCTAACCAATCTTTACATAAACCTCTGCTGGTAAGGATACAGATGGTTTACAACCTACAATAGTTCAACTTACAACTTTATCTGCAGAGACATACTGGTGAAATGAGATGGATTTCTCTCACTCAACACTCACTATAGTCCACTAATGTAAATATTACTATTATCCCCATTTTGCTCCATTTAAGGAAACTGATATTCAGAGAAGTACAGTTATTTGCCCAAATTCACCCAGCTAGTAAGAGGCAGGACTGAGATTTATGTATTTGGAGTACTTTTTAACTGGTTCAAGTGAAAGTTCCAACAGAGAACAAAAGTACTAAATCTTTTGTTTTTCTGCATCACTAATAAAAAGCACACATTTAAATACACTACTGTCATTTGGGGGGCTTTTTCTTGTCACCAGAATGTCATAGTCTTCCTATTGGGCAGTCAATATTTGGTGGAAAATGGATTCACCTGCTCCTTTAAGAGCAGACTCTGCAAGACAAAGTCACTATTCAGTATTACAAAAGTCCCGCTTCTAGGGAATGTCCCTGATTGGGAAAAGCTACCAGCTTCTAGGAAGAACCAGAAATGTGGCAAACTGTAAAACCAACAGGACAGCAAACACCTAGGAAAGACTGTGCTTAGGCAGCTGGGAGTTGGCAGGAAACCCGCAGTCAAAACCGCCACACTGCCAGGCTCATGGCTGACAATCATTCACAAATCTATACAACTGCTGGTCACCACCACCATCTCTAGTTAAGGTGTTGTTTAAACATTCATTAGGAAAAATGAGAATAGAGAAAAAATAAATTGTTAGGAAAACTAACCCTTAATTCTCCTAAATAGCTTTGATAATTGAAAGTCTGAAAATCATAAATATAATAAGTGTATATTCTGAACTTCAACAAAAGTCTTTTTCAGCCACTCAGCTCAATAATATGGTATTTCAGAATTTCCTTCCTCAGGTCATGGTTTAAGTATAACACTTACACAGTTTCTATCGCTTAATTCTAATAAACCTAGTCCTGGGCTACTCTTAGGAATTATATTACTCAGAATGAAGCCTTTGTGTGAGGGGAGGCTAATTTCATCTTACATTTCAAAAAAAACACATGTTTGAGTACAGTCACTACCTGATATTTAGCTTTCTCCTTTCCTCCCTTGTCTGGAAATCTCTGGTGTTACTAGAATGCAGAAAGACTGCACTGTGGGGGAAGATGGCAAGGTCTAACTCCAGTTATACTTTCTTATTCTGGCACGAACTCCCGTTCAGTCCTATCTGTGCTTATCTGGCAGCAGAGGAGCAGAGGGAAGGGACATAGCACACAGCTGCCACCTGTGGCTCCTCCCCCGGCTTCCCTAGAAATGAGGACAAGGGTGGGAGTTCCTCAAGACAAGAGCAGAGTGTACTTTACAATGGACCCATAGAAGTGTTTTCAGGAAGCACATTTGGACCTTGCACACTAAAAAGCAAAGCAGTCATTGTAGGCGCACTCTGCAATTATAGCATCAAGTCACATTGTGGAAACTTCAGATTTCCAGTCCAGTCCTATAGCCACAGGGGACACCAAGTGAGGCTGCAGCCTCCTGTGCTCAGCCAACTGTCTCCAGTCGGGTTCACATATCTCCAGTGTCCCACAGCCCTAATCACTCCCTACTGTCTTACCTGACCCACTACATCAGGTATTTTACCAGCTGGTCCCTTAAGCATTTGAATTTGCAATCCCTGGTCCACCCTCATCAATTTATAAAGGTACTTACAGTTGCATGACCAAGTACAAGTGATTTGGGCTTTCATAAATGTCTTCCAGGGCAACAATATTTTCATGCTTAATCCTGAAAGAAAAATGAAACACACACAGAGAATAGTAAGTATGAGACATGAAAACTTTTAAAAACAGATGTCATTATAGCATAAAGTTCTAAACATTAAAAAGAAGAGAGTCAAAATGGAGTCACTTGTGCTTAAGTCCCACAGCAGAAAACCAAGACTTAATACCTAATCTAGTTGAAGTCATACCCACAGGTATGAAATATTAACTGATCAGTCTGGCACTTGCAACAGCCTGCCTTGCTTCACAACTTGGCTTCACCTGGGTAATTCCAAGCCCAACACAAGTAGCAGCAGCCATCTGCAGATCACTCTGTAGCTTGTGGGGTGACCCCAGGCAGTGGCTGACTTTGCACCTCTCAGGAGGCCCCAAAGCCAGTGCAGACCATACCAGATTATATCTCTACATATTCACAAGCAACACACTTAAGGGGCAGATTCTGTATTATAAATGTCCCACTATAGCAAGTCCTGCTCCATACAGGTTTCCTTCATACCACAGCTCTTCCACTGTAGTCACAGTTGGTACTCACAGCCAATTGCCCTGCAGGTCAACTCCTTCTAGTGATGCCAAAGAAATCAAGGCTCAGTTACAATAAGACTGTGCACATAGCCAACACAGGAGTGCACCTAGAGTGCCCAGCTCTGGTGCCGGGGGAGGCTGAGCCACTAGGCTCTACAGGACACCTACTACACAAGGCCACTCTACCAATTCCAGAAGACATAGCAGCTCTACCTATACAAAGAAACAAACACAGGGAAGCAGCCAAAATGTGGAGACAAAGAAACATGTCACAAATAAAAGAACAGAAGAAATCTCCAGAAAGAGAAATAAATGAAATGTAAGCAAGCAAAGTACTGGACACAGAGTTCAAAACAATGCTTAAAAGGTTGCTCAATGATCTTAACGAGTGCTTTAAGAGAATTAATGAGAGCTTCAAGGGATTTATTGAGACTTTCAAGGATTTTAATGAGAATGTCAAAGACATAAAAAAGGACCAGTCAGAAATTAAGAATAATTTACAGAGATTCAAAAATATAGAAGAGGATTCTTAGAATCAAATAAACAATTTGGGATATAAGAAAGCAAAACAAAAACAAAACAAAACAAAACAAAACAAAACAAAAAAAAACAATCAGAAGAACAAAAAGAAAAAAGAATCTGAAGTTATGAAGATAATGTGAGGAGCCTTTGGGACAACTTTAAATATACCAACATTTGCATTATGGGAGTGGCAGAAGAAGAGAGAGAGAAAGATATTGAAAACTTATTTGAAGAAATAATGACAGAAAACTTTCCCTACCTGGTAAGAGAAAAAGACTTACAAGTTCAGGAAGCACAGAAAGTCCTAAACAAGAGACACCCAAGGAGGCCCACACCAAGACACATCATAAGTAAAATGCCAATGGTTAAAGACAAAGAGAGAATTTTAAAAGCAGCAAAAGAAAAGCAATTACCTACAAGGGAGTGCCCATACAACTATCAACTGATTTCTCAACAGAAATTTTGCAGGCCAGATGAGAGTGGCAAGATATATTCAAAGTGATGAATAGCAAGGACCTACAACCAAGATTACTCTACCCAACAAAGCTATCTTATCTAATATAAAGGGAATATGCTAATTGACCCTCATGCTGTCAAAAAGATGGCAGTGCCCACAGCCAATAAGGAGGGGATATGCTAATCGACTGCCTCACTCTCAAAGATGGCAGCACCCACAGCCACAAGATGGCAGTGCCCAGTCTCCTTTCCCGCGCACCTATCTCCAGTATCCCCCAGTTCCTTCAGCCCCCCAGCTGCCCAGGGCAGGCCTGAGGTGCAGGCAAGCCTCAGATGGCAGCTGCCCAGCCACCCAGGGCTACCTGAGGCTCAGCCAAGGCTTACATGCCAGCAGTGGCAGCAGTAGAGGTGTGATGCGGCATCACTTTCCCCTGATTGCTTGGTCACTTCCCACCCCTGAGGGCTCCCGGACTCTGAGAAGGGGCAGGCTGGGTTGAGGGACCCCCCTCCAGTGCATGAATTTTTATGCACTGGGCTTCTAGTCATTTATAATTGAAGGTCACATAAAGAGCTTCAAAAACAAGAAAAAGCTAAAGGAGTTTATTACCATCAAATCAGTATTACATGAAATGTTGAAGGGTATTCTTTAAGAAGAAAAAATATATGAACAATAAAATAGCACTAACTACATATCTATCAACAATTGAATCTAATAATCAAAATAAATGAAAGATATCTAATGAACAAAATAAATGGAAGAATAAAATAGAACCAGAGGCATACAAACATGGAACAGATTGATGAATCTCAGAGGAAAGTGGGAGAGGGGACAGGAAGAGATTAATCAAAGATCTTATATGAATATAGGCATTACTTATGGACACAGACACTAGGGTGGTGAATGCCTAGGGTGGGGCTGGAACCAGGTATAGGGGGCTAGTGGAGGAAAAGGGGGCATCTGTAATACTCTCAACTGTAAATATTTAAAAAAAAATCAACCAATGAATGAATCAATAAGTAGAACAACAACATTTCTCTCACTAAAAATCAATACAAATTTTAAAAAGTAAAAAAACAAAAACACCTTAGATGATCTGTATGCACCAAGTTGAGCTAGAGAAATTCTGTATTAGGCCAGTGTTTCTCAAAGGAAGTGTGCACAGGAAGAACCCAAGGTTCTGGATGCATATCTTAATTGAGCAGGTCAGAGGCTGGGTGGAGGGGGTGGCTGAGAATCTGCATTTCTAACATGCTCCCTGGAGAAGCCCATGCTGCTGGTCTGACAACAAGCTCCTAACCACATATCAAGGGAGAAAAAAACAGCATGATGCTAGCTCCCTCTAAGAGGACCTTCTGCTCAAAATTTCAGGTCTGATATTTATTTAAAGCATTTGAGAAAAGAATCATTTGTTACTCTATGAGCTAATTAGCTCTTATCATAAGCTTTTCACCGAAATTACTGCTGAACCACCTAAAAGACAGCATTTAATGAACAGATTCTTATGAACCATTATAAGCAGGGACTATATCTTACTCATTTTGTTTTTCCCTTTTACTTCCATTTATCTGCTAAATAAATGTTTCCTGGATGAATAGGATTTAAAAGTTGTTGCTATTAAACAGAAAAACCATTAGTTAGTCAGGGAAAACAGCCAATTTTCCTAAGTGTGAGATGTTTACAAAAAGAAGTTTACAAGGTGGAACAAACCAGAATATTATCTTGCCTTTAAGCAGCTGAAAGAAGGAAATAAAATAATTAATTGAGCCCAACTGGTGTGGCTCATCAGTTGAGCATCAACTCAGGAAATAAGAGATCACTGGTTTTATTCCAGATCAAGACACATGCTCAGGTTGTGAGCTTAATCCCCAGTGTGGGGGGCATGTAGGAGGCAGAAGGTCAATGATGTTTCAATTTCATCAGCATTTATCTCTCTATCCCTCTCCCCTCCCCTCTCTCTAAAAATCTAAGCAAAATAAGCCAGTCATAGAAAGACAAGTATCACATGATCTCACTCATATGTGGAATCTAATGAACAAAATAAACTGATGAACAAAATAGATCCAGAGACATAGAAGCATGGAACAGACTGTTGAATTTCAGAGGGAAGGTGGGAGTGGGTGGGAAGAGATCATCTAAAGAACTTTATGCATATATACATAACCCACAGACATAGACAATAGCGTGGTGGGGGCCTTCACAGAGTGGGGGTGTAGGTAGGGCTAAAAGAAATCAATGGGGAAAAAGGGGGACATATGTAATATTTTCAACAATAAAATTTTTTAAAATCAATAAAAACATTAAAAAAGAAATATAAAAAACCGAGAGTGGTGATGTTTTGATTCTTTCAGATTTCATCAGTCAATGCAGTTGTTTTTAGGAGCTGAGATAATGGATTATACTAATCTAGAGGTCCAGTGCATAAATTCACGGGAAAGGGGAGTGGGGGGAAGGGAGGACTGTTGACTGTGGGAGCACACTGACCACCAGGGGGCAGCTCCTGCATTGAGCGCCTGCTCCATGGTGTCCAGTTGTTCCAGTCATTCTGGTTATTTGGTTGTAATGGTCACTTAGGCTTTTATATATATAGATTCACTTTTCACCTGATTCAAATACATAAGCCTAATTATTTGTTACTGTGATACCTGAGCAAAATAATATCAGCAATATGTTACATGAACCAAATAAACTATGTCACCAAGGAAGCCAAGATAGGTTAATGTGGGACTGCCCAGATCCTAGTTGTTTGTGAATTATAACTGTTGGCTATCACTTAAAGAATATCACCACAAAAGTATAACATGGGATTTTCCCTTTCATTAATGACTTAAAATTTGCAATTGGAATCAATCACATGGGCACAAATATTTTCTTTAAGTCAGTGGAGTTAATTTGGGGGTTAATTAAGACCTTAGATTTTATGGGAAAATGAAAGGAATGTGGTTTATATATAGGGTTGTCAGGTAAAATGCAGGGCATCCCATTAGGTTTAATTCTGGATAAACAATGAATACTTTTTTAGTAAAGTATGTCCCAAATGTTGCATTTTTGTTTATCTGAAATTTAAATATGATTGGATGCTCTGCATTTTCATATGCTAATTCTGGCCATCCTACTACATGAATCATAGTCAATGAGCCTCTACCATATAGTTGCTTAGAGATTTGTTCCTACAGTTACAGATGCCCTTAGAGGTTGAGTCAAGAGGGCAGCTTGAGCCTTGGACTACAGCTATTAATACAGATTCAACTATATACAAAAACCAACTATTAGTCTCTGGCCCAGTCAAAGCCAGAGACTAATAAATTAAGAATAAAACTCCTTCTTTGGATGCAGGGGATGGAAAAATTGGTCTATTTACCCAGCTATGTCTTACTTGAATTCTTACAGTGGCTGGGAATGATTAACTATTTCTATTCTACTAACTATTCTAACTATTCCTCTTATCATACTAACTATTCATCTTAACTACTGAGTCAAGTAATCAAGCAATTGTCATTTACTAA